TAAGGGGGCAAGAAAGGAAATGTGGATTTTTCTCCAGACATTTCTCCATCTTGGCCACTAGGTGGTGACATTGTATAGAGACAGCTTGGTCGCTGGCAGGTAAGTAGCTGTTTCTTACGGAAGTGGACATCTTATATATACCAAGTAGGTCAGCAAGTATCTCTTAAAAGTTTTTATATGTATTAGTCACTTAGCTTTTGTAGCACATTTGTGGTGAGTTGTATTAAGCTTCTCTTTTTGATATTTATTTTGGTTTGTGTATTTATTCTGAAGTGCCTATTTAGTGATGATAAACTATAATACATATGGTAAACAGATGTTTAGATAGATAAACAGCCCCCGTTTTCCAAAAAATTCACACACCTAAACAAAATAATTGATGTAGGTGATACGTCGAAGAAATACATTGAAACTATATTAAACAAAATAAAAATTTAAACATGTTAGTACTATGTTTACTGTTACTGCTTACGGCATGAGTGTGTGTATGTTCGGAGGCTGATGTCCATGTACATTTGGAAGCGGGATCTCTAGAAGTTTCCCTCATCTGGGACCAGCAGATGGTGTATTGGTTACATCACTGGACTCCCATGTGGTTGACCACAGTTCAAGTCTTGGACTCGGCAGCTTGAAACCCATGTCGGGTGCATTCTCCTCTCCAAAATCCATAGAGGAGAATGGAGGAGAAGGGATTGCGGTGTGGCCAGCCCCACGGTGGTGGGGGGTGATTTCTTGCTTTCTGCCTCTAGTGAGTGCAAATGCCCTATAGCAAAAATATCTCTTAAGAAAATGAAAAATGGGAAAAAAGGTTCCCTCATCGATGAATAACCCTTACATATTACTGGGTATGGGTAACCTACATTCCAAGGATTTTCCTGTTTTTCTTTATGCCCCACAATAAACTCCCAGTTACTCAAAAATTCAAAACAGTGGATGAGTAGTGCATGTTTTGTTGACTTAAAATGAGAAGTCTTTTCTGTCATGGTTGAGGTTGCTACCTCTTGAATTAGGGCGGTCTCTGTTACTGGATTAGAGGAAAATAGGTCCCAGTTATTCCCAAATTGGAATTCTGAATGTGTCCTTTCATAGAAACATTGTTTTAATGGTAATTATATATAACTGAAGTTGAAAAGTCAGACTTCTGGGCCAGAAAGCTGGCGTGGGGGTTAAGGCGCTGGACAAGCCCACATGGCTGACCACGGTTTGAGTCCCGGACCTGGTGGCTTGCTTTCTGACTTTTTCCTCTCTCAGATTTCTCTGTGTCTCTCTCTGGTCAAATTAAAATAAATGAATGAATGAATAAATAGATACTTCTTTAAGAAAAAAAAGAAAAATCAGACTTCTTTCTGGGGTTCTGGTGTCAGATGTCCCTAATTTCTTTATAGAATATCTGATCTGGAAAAGTATTTTTCTCTTCTGTAAAATAGAACCTTTCAAGTTACCATATATTCATATTAAACATGATTTTACACTTAAACCCTGCCACATTTTATCTGGTTCCAAGCAGACTGTTTCCCCTCGCTTCTCTTATCTGTTATAGTCCTTCTTAAAGATCAGATTATGTTGGGAACCAGCAGTTAATGTAATGGCTATGTTGCTGGACTCCCATGTAGTCAACCGCGGTTTGTATCCCGTACCCGGTGACTTAAAACTCACGCTGAGCGCGTGTGCGTGCGTGCCCAAGATCCCGAGAGGAGAATGGAGGAGAAGGGATTGTGGCGTGACTATCCCCCCTGGGGGGTGATTTCTCGCTTTCTGTCTCTATGTCTCTCTCTGTCTGTCTGGCAAGCGGTTACATCACTGGACTCCCATGTGGTTGACCACAGTTCAAGTCTTGGACTCGGCAGCTTGAAACCCATGTCGGGTGCATTCTCCTCTCCAAAATCCATAGAGGAGAATGGAGGAGAAGGGATTGCGGTGTGGCCAGCCCCACGGTGGTGGGGGGTGATTTCTTGCTTTCTGCCTCTAGTGAGTGCAAATGCCCTATAGCAAAAATATCTCTTAAGAAAATGAAAAATGGGAAAAAAGGTTCCCTCATCGATGAATAACCCTTACATATTACTGGGTATGGGTAACCTACATTCCAAGGATTTTCCTGTTTTTCTTTATGCCCCACAATAAACTCCCAGTTACTCAAAAATTCAAAACAGTGGATGAGTAGTGCATGTTTTGTTGACTTAAAATGAGAAGTCTTTTCTGTCATGGTTGAGGTTGCTACCTCTTGAATTAGGGCGGTCTCTGTTACTGGATTAGAGGAAAATAGGTCCCAGTTATTCCCAAATTGGAATTCTGAATGTGTCCTTTCATAGAAACATTGTTTTAATGGTAATTATATATAACTGAAGTTGAAAAGTCAGACTTCTGGGCCAGAAAGCTGGCGTGGGGGTTAAGGCGCTGGACAAGCCCACATGGCTGACCACGGTTTGAGTCCCGGACCTGGTGGCTTGCTTTCTGACTTTTTCCTCTCTCAGATTTCTCTGTGTCTCTCTCTGGTCAAATTAAAATAAATGAATGAATGAATAAATAGATACTTCTTTAAGAAAAAAAAGAAAAATCAGACTTCTTTCTGGGGTTCTGGTGTCAGATGTCCCTAATTTCTTTATAGAATATCTGATCTGGAAAAGTATTTTTCTCTTCTGTAAAATAGAACCTTTCAAGTTACCATATATTCATATTAAACATGATTTTACACTTAAAACCTGCCACATTTTATCTGGTTCCAAGCAGACTGTTTCCCCTCGCTTCTCTTATCTGTTATAGTCCTTCTTAAAGATCAGATTATGTTGGGAACCAGCAGTTAATGTAATGGCTATGTTGCTGGACTCCCATGTAGTCAACCGCGGTTTGTATCCCGTACCCGGTGACTTAAAACTCACGCTGAGCGCGTGTGCGTGCGTGCCCAAGATCCCGAGAGGAGAATGGAGGAGAAGGGATTGTGGCGTGACTATCCCCCCTGGGGGGTGATTTCTCGCTTTCTGTCTCTATGTCTCTCTCTGTCTGTCTGGCAAGCACACGCGCCCTATAGTGAAAATCTCTCTCAAGAAAAATTATGTTGATGGTGTATATATTTTATCATTTCATCTATACTGTTTATGTGTTCAAGCCAGCTTTCTTGACTTTAGCTTTGTATTTGTTGTGAACAGATCTTGCCCAGTGCTGTGTTTGTAGTAGGTGCTCAGTAAAATGCATTAGCTGCTTAAGAGGACTTTAGATGGTTCGTGCCAAAGAATTGTGTTTTAAGATAATTAGCTATGACTGGAAATCACTTTTCATATAACATAAGGCGTTTAAATAGGCCTTTAGGTGGAAGGACTCCCATGGCCAGATGTTTTGATTTCTGATGAAAGGACACTATTGCCTTGAAGGTTATAAAACACACTGGTTTAATTTTTGGAACTCACATGTATTCTTTTATACCTGTTCATAAAATTTAGCCCACATGTATGGCAATTCCATTGTAAATATTCCAAATTACTGATCCTTTTGAGTCATTGAGCCTTTTGAGAATCCAAATGGAACTCCTCCCCCAATAGGCACATGTAAAGGCCCAGGAAAATGCATTACGAAGGTACTTTTCTGTACGGTCAGGAGAGCTCAGAGATCTCAGGGAGAGATCGCCTTCTCCGGATTCAGGAATGGAGGCAGCTTGCTATACTAGAGAATGTACTGCATTCAGAATTGGGGGACCCACGTGAGGCCCAGCTTCTTTCTGTCTGGACGAATGTGGCACCATTTGCCAGGTCATTCAACCTCTCCTTGCTCGTTCCTTCATGTATAAAGTGAAATTGCAGGATTAAAGGTGAAATGAATCAGAGCCAGCCCCTGGCGTGAAGGCAGCTGGATTCCACAGGGCCAACTGCGTGGTTCCAGCCTTGAACCCAAAGGCTTGAAAAACACTCCAGGCACATGTGCATGCATGCCCCAAATCCCAAGAAGAACATGGAGGAGAAGGGATTGTGGTGTGGCCATCCTCCCTGGGGAGTGTTTTCCCACTTTTCCTCTCTTTCTCCTCTCTCTCTCTCTCTCTCTGGTGAGCACATGTGCCCTATGGCAAATTTTTTTAAAAATTAAATGAATCACCACATGCAGCTTACTTAGAATAAGTCTGTGTACGTAATACACTTTCCTGCATTTGTTCCCAGTCTTTAATTCTGTCTCAGAAAGGATTTTTGCATTTTGTATTGCGCCCCCCATTGTCTAATTAATTATTTTTTCCTTTAAAAAATTAATTTTGGGGGGAACCAGCAGTCAGCATAATGGCTATGTTGCTGGACTCCCATGTAGGTGACTGCAGTTCGAGTCCTGGACATGGTGGCTTAAACTCATGCTAGGTGTGTGTGCATGTGTACCCAAGATCCCGAGAGGAGAATGGAGGAGAAGGGATTGCAGCATGGCCATCCTCCCTGGGGGGTGATTTCTCGCTTTCTGTTTCTCTGTCTCTCTTTGTCTTTCTGGTGAGCGTGTGCGCCCTATAGCAAAAACCTCTCCAAAAAAAAAAAATTACTTTTTATTTCCAACTTGAGTAACAGTTTATTCTGTTATCTTGTAAGCCAAGTGGTAAGCTATGGCCTCTCTCTTGATACATCTGTATAGACAATAGTAAATGAAATAACAAAAACTACCGTCTTATAATAGGAAATTCTGAGTCAGAGGAAATACATGTGTAAAAGTAGCTGAGGAAAGAAAGAGCACTGAGAAAGTCTGCGTTGAGATGTCGTATTGGTGCACTGGCGTAACTTGTTAAAGCCCATCTTTTCAGAAATTGGATATATCATTAGGTTGTCAGGAAAATTATTTTTCTATGTTTTTCTCTGCAAAAATGCGTCATGATTTTCCCAACAGCCTAATATATCTATCAAAAATCCATTCCTGTTTGTGTAAACTTTTTATGAAAATAAACTCCATTGATGTCTATCTCAGCAGTAAACAGACTGTTTAAAAAATATGTAACTTTTATGGATTACTCAGTAAGACAAACACCTTTTTTCCACTCTAACTAGGGAAGAAGACAAAAACATATTTGATTACTGCAGAGAAAACAACATTGACCATATATCCAAAGCCATCAAATCGAAAAATGCGGATGTGAATATGAAAGATGAAGAGGTATGAAACACACGTCCCGTTAACTGTGTCCTGATTCTTTGTTGTTTTCCCCAGTGCCTTTTTTTAAGTGCCAGGCTGCCACTCAGAGTACAGCACGGTGAAGAGCATGTAAGAATGTCTAAATGAGATATCGCCCGGATAGGATACCCTCTGTGTCTGTATCCAACACATTTTTATCTGTGTTACCAGCTAAAACTTCCAGGGTCAAGTAACTTGCATTTGTTTATAATGAAAGGAGAAACTATTAGTGTAATAAACTAAATCTATAGGTAATGTAAAATCACATTTATAAATAGCTTTAGTGTCTTCTGTCATTATACATTAAATGGGTATATTGTTCTTTATGTAGTAAATACATTTCTAGGGAACTGTCAAACTGTTGGTAAATCTGATCATTTAAATCCTTGCGCACTACTTAAAGGGATCCTATAGTAAATTCTTTGGTAAAATATGGGATTCTTAATATGTTTGTTTTTTATCTTAAACTACTGATTGATCTTAAACTATCCCTGAATTATTGTTCTTAACAAAGAAGCAGAATAGCTAATTCATTCTTTCTCTTTCTCTCTTTTTTTTTTTCTTTTTTTTTGAGAGGTTTTTGCTATAGGGCACGTGCGCTCGCCAGACAGACAGAGAGAGACAGAGAGACAAAAATCACCCCCAGGAGGCATGGCCACGCCGCAATCCCTTCTCCTCCATTCTCCTCTCAGGATCTTGGGCACACATGCACATGCGCCTGGCGTGAGTTTAAGCCACCAGGTCCAGGACTTGATCCACAGTCGACTACACAGGAGTCAAGTGAAATAGCCATTATGCCAACTGCTGGTCCCCTAATTCACTCTTGATCATTTTTCTCATCCTTTGGTGATGCTGTGAAAAAGTATTGAAATGGCTAAAAGATAGCAATTGTCAGAAAGAAGACAATTGTAGATAGTCTGTAGACTAGATAATCAACTTATGTGTAATTGAAAACTCCCTATACAAGCTATCTCTTAATATTGCTTCACTTTTTTTTTTTTTTTTTTTTTTTTTTTGCTAGAGGGTGCCTGTCTCTAGAGAGAGACAGAGAGAAAGTGAAAAAGCACCCTCCATGGAGGATGGTTATAACACATACCTTTCTCCATTTCTCCTTCCAGGATTTTGGGCACACATGCGCTTGTGCCTGGCATGTTTCTCAAGCCACCAGGTCTAGGAATCAAACCATGCACTTGGTCATGTGGGATTCAGTCACTTTAACCACCACGCTACTTGCTGGCCCAATATTGTTCACTTTTCGGCAATGCCTTTCATGAAATATATTATCAGTATTAGAAATTAGAAATTAAGTGTAGGGACCAGCAGATGGCATAATGGTTACACCGCTGGACCCCCACATAGTCAACCGCTGTTTAAGTCCTGGACCTGTTGGCTTGAAACATGATGGGTGCATGTGCATACATGCCCAAAATCCTGAGAGGATACTGGAGAAGAAGGGACTGCAGCGTGGCCATCCCCCCAGGGGGTGATTTCTTGCTTTCTGTCTCTCTGTCTTTGTCTCTCCAGCGAGCTCATATGCCCTATAGGAAAAACCTCTCTCGTTGAAAAAAAAAAAAAAGTGTGTTCTACTACAGTAAGGTGTGTCAAGTAATACTTCTTTTTCTCCACTAAGTAATGAAAAAGACAGACCCAAAAAGTTGGGACTAGAGAAGAGCAGAGCCAAATTATGAAAACATATGCCAGGTCTTCTGACTCTAATTAGTGTGAGTTTTTTGTTTTGTTTTGCTTTGCTTTTTTACTCTTTAGAATCAGAATACTTTTTTTTTTTTTTTGGTGAATCAGGTAGATTGCTTCCCTTGGTTTTATTGTTTTCAACTTTTGTACATGTGAAGTAAAATTTATATAAAATTAATACATGTATATAGTTTTTAAAAAGTGAAATAGCACTATTAGACCTGATTCTAACTCTCTTAAGGCAAAAATTTCTATTCTTTTTTAGTAATTATTTTTAGCAATTTATCTAAATAATTCTAAATAATAGCTCTTAATATTTCAACTTTTGACTTGATTTTCTTTTGTTATATTAGCATTAAGCTGTGTTATCTTCCTCCTCTTTCTTTCTCTGACCCTCCTAATGTAACTTTTCATTTCAGCTCTCTGATCAAATCTCTACAGTATCATTGTTTATATTATTATGATTATACAGATGTTCACTGCTAAGTTATGGACTGCACAATGTGTATCAGTTGGGTTTTGCTGTAATAACAAGTAGACCCCAGCTTTCAGTGGTTCACAACAAACATTTCTTGCTTATATTAACATTTTGTAGGATAGGTGACACTGTGTCATTTAGATATTCTAGTATGCTCTTAATTCATTTCTTGCTTTATCTTGATATGCTTCTTGTATTCTTCCTAAGCTGTTTTGTATGCTTCATGTTGACCTGTCTGATATTTCAGAAAGCTTTTGGGTCAGTCAAGGCTCCACCCAGTTATGCTAACCTTGTTTGGGCACAGTTCATCTTTATTTTATTTGTCTTTTCATTCTGAGATCCAACCTCAGTAAATAGATACTCAGGGGCAGGAGCTGAGGACAGTCTGAGCCACACCCCATAAATACATTTAAAGCTTTTGCTTGGTTGTGACACAGATCACCTCTGATAGTATTCCGTTGGCCATAGTTAGTCACAAGGCCATTGTGGTGGGAAGTACACTGCGATTATGGGTAAGCGAGGGTGAGAAGGGAATGAGTAATTACATAATTATGAATAATACAAAATATCTGCCATTATACATCATTTTGTTTTTCTTAAGGTTGATAATGGCCTCTTTTTTTTTGTTTGTTTTTATGTTCTCTGTAAAATGCTGTTGGGATTTTGGCCACATATGCAAATTTTCTGGTTCCTGTCTTTAATTCTTTCTTCCAGTTGTTCAACAAAGCCATAAAACTTTTCATTGTAGTCAAACACATCAGGTAATGAATTCCAATTTTTCTTAGAGATACCTCTTTTGGAATTCTTCTTCATCTCTAATCAGGACAGTTGCTGTGCAGGCCTGTTACTAGAAGTCACCCTGAGGTATCTTTTTATCACTATCCTGGAAATTCTCTTCTCTCACTTGGATTCTCCTGTTGTCTGGATCCCATGTCTTCTTCTCTTATTGTTCGCTCTCCTGTATGTTCTCTTTCATTGTTCATTTCCCTGTTTCGATGGAACATTTCCTCCAGTAGCTTTCTGAAAATGGCAAGTGTTTTTGAGATCTTCTTTGTCAAAATTGTTTCTATCAGTTCTTGGCATATACCACACACAGAATAAATAGTTGATGAATTAGTTATTCAATGAACAAATAAGAAAAAGCAGCGTAGCGTAATGGTGAAGGCTGCACTACATGGGTGCAAGTCCAAGCACTGTCACTTCCTAGCCATGCGACCTTTGTCAAGTTTACTGTGTGCCTCAGTTTTCTAATGCATAAAATGAGGTAATAATAGTACTTGCCCTAGGACTGAGGAGTATATAAGTTAATGTATATAAAGCATTTAAATAGTACCTGATATGTATACAGTAAGCACTCTGTAAATTTTAGCTACTATGATTAGTCTTAATATAATTATCATATAATTAACAATGTTAATATAATGAAGAAACAAATGAAGTCACTTAGCTTTTTCATAACTTTTTCTCTGAAAAGTATCAACCATGTAATATATGATTCATATTACTATTTCTACCTTTCAAATAACAAGTAATATTTTATACAGTATGTCTTTTTTTAAATTTCAATTGCTAGAGGGTATGGGTGTTCACCAGAGAGACAGAGAAAGCACTTCCTAAGGGGGTGTGGTCATATCACAATCCCTTCTCCACTTCTCCATCCTGTCGGGATTTGGCCACACACACGTATGCCCAGCATTTCTTTTGAAGCCACTGAGGCCAGGATTCCAACCACAGTCAGCCATGAAGGATCTGGCTCCACCAACCACTAGGCCAGAGGGCCAGCTCCACAGTGTTTTATTGTTTATGGAGCAATGTTGCTCTTCAGAACAATACTCTAAGATATTATTCTTATTTTAGAGACAGCCATGAAAGTACAGAAATGTGCATTTATTTGCCGAAATACACACAGTTGCTAAATGTAAATCAAGTCTTAGAGAGTACTCCATCCCACTACTAGATTTAAGAAGGATAAGGAAAAACATAGAAAGGAAGAGAAGGATAAACAACTTTCATTTGGCCCTGCGTGTGTTATGCTCTGCCTTGCAACTATTTCTTTTTAAAGTAGTACTATAGGTCAAGGCCACATAGAACTTCTCCAAAGTTCGCTGGACGACAGCAGTGATAGAGGTGGTGGAATGGGTGCCTACTACACAAACAGCTGACACTTAAATAAAAGGAAAACGTGCAGGATGTATTTCTTCTAGCATTCAGTTACTTTCCAGCTCTTCGAGTTTGTTACTCATGCAGCTACCTCTGCCCCAGCCTGCCAGAACGTTGTATCTCCATGAACAGATGAAGTGCTTACACATTCATAGACTGAGACGCCAAGAATTCAGTTGGGTTCTCTCATTGCTCCAAGCAGATTTCTGCCCTCTCAGCCATGACAGCTCAGGCTGGGCTTTGAATACTGATGACAGGTCTTTTTATTATTAATCAGGGATTTGTGTGAATTAATTTAAGAACATAAGGGAGATGGGAGCTTGAAATCAGAATCAAATTTAACATCTTAAATAACATAAATAGTACTGCTTCATGACATTTAAAGCTCTAGCAAATAAAACAAGTGACAAGCCTTGATGATTGCCTGAAAGTATATAACCTCAAAATGAAGTTTCCTGCTAAATACTTTTAGCCCTTTATCAGTAAAAAGACATTTTTTATTATAAATTGAGTAACTATTGCAGTTTTTAAAAGACATTCAGTTCCTCTCTGTATTGATTTGGTATTTGAACTTGAGATATATTTCCCTACTGATGTCTAGGATTCTTTGGATTAGTCTGTTTTCATTTAAATTGTTCATCCAGCAGGTTCA